TAGTTTATTTTTGATGTATTTATATGTGAGTATGTCACTTTACAAAAAGTGAGGTCAGGGATGTCAGTAATTTGGTAATGAATTTATTTTTATATTATATTATACTTCTACTGGCTGCTTACACTAGCGTCAAAGAGCTTTTGATCAACAGAGCGTAGGTACTACAAATCTCTACCTGGATATGAAAATACGGCCAATATATTGTTTGTGGCGAAAGTTTTTAATAACTCAGAAATAAAGTGAAATATTTAAGTATAATGAAAATTGTATTAATTCTTTAATTTATCTTCTATACTATAATTATACTATAAAGAGGTTACGTTTGTGAGTTTGTGACGTTATAGGGTCTAATCTCTGGATGTACTAAACCGATTTAGATGAAATTTAGTAAGAAGGTAGTTTGAGATCCTGGGAAGGACATAGAACTTTTTATCCCGGAAATCTTCCCTTAAGGGGGTGAAAATGGGGATGAAAGTTTGTATGGGGAAGCAAGCTAGTAAGTTATATTTACCATAATAATACATAATGTATTTATATGCTTTAACGTGTTGTCTTTAGCTTTACGTACGCCTTAACAAATAAGCCATTTACAGGTAAGACGTCTGTCTTACCTGTAAATGGCTTTGCTTTGTATGGGCTGGCACCGATTTCGAAAATATTTGATTAGGTATGTATAGTAAATGAAAACTACCAGTCAGTTATTTTTTACTTTTTAGTGCTTTTGTTTGAAGTCGGTTTTTATTTTTTTGTTAAAAAGTTTTTATTTTTCCCTTTTTAGTGTAGACAGTAGTAGCAAAGTAAGAATTCTAACTTGTTAGGCTTGTCAAATCAAACAAAATAATCCCAAACTCAAAGTATCTACTATTAGCCGTTGAAGAGTTCCACCTATCCACCTTCTGGCCTTACCATCAGATTAGGTCAACAATACCGAACTGTACTATCAACGAAAATAGAAACACTTGCAAAGTTTCAAGTCAATATGACAATTAGAAGTAGGTTAAATTAATCATTAGCTATTTTTATTATTTAGTTTTTTTAGAATTTTTTTTTGAAATTTAAATGGGACCAATCTGGAAGTATACACTTTCAAACAACACAAAAATTGTCCAAATCTGTTAATAAATGACGGAGTTCTGAGGTAACAAACATAAAAAAACAGTCGAATTGAGAACCTCCTCCTTTTTGAAGTCGGTTGAAAATTACAGGAAAACTCTAAAGTCTTCAGTCCAGTACCATTATAAGTCTTCATTGCTCTTGGCTATTTTTTATATATTTTTATTATAAAAAAGTGAAAATATCCACTAACTACCAACAAAAACAAATCTATCCCACGGGAACCGTATATTTTTCTGGGATAAAAAGTAGCCTATTTGTTATTCTGATGTATGAACTATGTTATTGTAAACTTTTATTAAAATCCAATATGTAGTTTTTGTGTAAAAGCGTATAACTATTATAGTTTTCTGACTACCCACGGGCACTCTTGACTTTTTGGGGATGAAAAGTACCTGAAATGTTGACCGGGGATATAAGGTACCAACAAGCAAAATTTCATTTAAATCGGTCCAACAGATTCGGAGATTAGCCCGTAGAAACAGACAAACAGACAAAAAGACAGACAGAAAAACAAAAAATTAAAAAAAAACTGGATTTTTTCTATTTCGCTTCTTACACCCCCCTGATTTGGTTTTTAGCTTTTTTTTCTTTGTACAGACATTCGACCTCTATAATTTTATTATATATTACGAGTATATTATGTATAGATAATTTGAATATTCCTTCCCTATTGCTATATAAGCATTAAATTAATTAATTAATGCATTGGACTACCTAAATTCATTTACTTAAATATTTTAATAATACCTATCCATTGTATATTCTAATTTAATTTAGTTTTTTTAATAATCTCATGTAGCACAAGCCTATTGTGTCGTACGAGGTGACATTTTACAATAGCTTACGAATAGAAATTTAAAAAATTATATTAACCTTTTTCTTAGGTTTCTATTAATGAACCATTATAAAATATTACCCAGTCTGAGACCTCAGCTTTTCTAAAACAAAAATATATGTGGAAATGACATATTTAAGCGGCACATTATTTCATCCCTGTATTTGTGTATTTATTTTGCCCTTTTTAACGCCTCACTGCTGGGCACGGGTCTCTTCAATACGAGAGGGGATCAGTCTACCACGCTAGCCAAGTCGTCGTCTTATTGCTTATTTGTTAAAACCACCAATACTTGTTGAACTTTACAGTAGAGAGCTTAATTGCTCTATTTTATCTTCTATGCATATAATAAAATTCTAACTGAGTCAAATCTGTACATTAATGATTTTTTGGAAAATCTTATTGAAACAGGACTTATTATCGATACAGGGGCTGAATCTATAGTTTTTAAAAATTTTGTCTATCTGGAAACGCATCACGAGAAAACCACTTGACAGATTTTGATGGTATAATGATAGCTGGTTATCCGGGTCAGCATATAAGATACTTTCAATTGCGGGAAAATATCTCATCTCTGAGAAATCTATACTAACCGTTAAAACGTTCCTAGGAAAGAACCCAAGCGGAGCGAGGGTGAGTCGCTATTTTATATATAGATAAAATAAAATACTTTTTTTTAAGTTAAATGTGTATCCATACCAATAAAATTGACATTTAAAAATCCATGATTCTGTATTCAAAACTCTTTCAGTAAATTGATCGCTTGGCCAAGCAGAAGACGACAATGTACGGGCTGGCGGACTTCGTATATTTAGTTAAAATATAAACGTTTTTCTTCACCTTTAGACAAGTGGTAGTTAGAAAATATCAGATGATTTGAATCCGCTTCACTTGATTTTGCAAACAAGCGATTATTAATTCGATATATTTTTAGTTTTTTAAAAGCGGAAATGATTGTAGAACGTCATCTTGTCTAAGCCCCAATATAAACCATTTTGCGATTATGAACTTTAGTCTTAAGAAAAGCTCTGCATGTTGACTCTATATCTTTAGGTAGCTCTAAAAGTTCTAAAAGTAAATCTGATAATTTAGTTTTTACTATGAGTACATCCCCAGAATTATCGGTTTTCTTAAAAATAAATGAAATTTAAAGAGAAAATGAAATAAATTACTATAAAATTTTACACAATTATTTAACTATATTAATAACATAAAAAACCGTTTTAATTGTTATCCATATACAACAATTTGTCGGTAAATATAAATTAATTTTGCTATCTCGAATTCGAATTAATTAAAGTACATTTTTATACTGCATTGAACACAAATCTAGACAGTTACGGGTATTCGTAGACAACATACAAGAATCACAATCTTGAAAGAATCCTTATTATTTTTCAATTTTCAGGCTTTGAATTGTCGAAAACTACACTGTTATATATGTTACATAGATCTAAATTTTTAGTCCTCTTTGTCTCTTGAACATAATATAATCGTTTTGAGTGTGTATTATTTGTATACCATAATATATATACAATATAATATGTCATAAAATAGTAGGTAATAGTATCCAGTCCCGTTACTTCCCAACAGGAATTCAAAGCGCCCACAATTAATAAATGTAAGATGAAACTTTCTTAGATTCAAGCGAATATTTGACATTCTAAATAAAATTATCTTTTCGGATTATTTCGTAGATCTATTTTGATTTTTGGTTCTCCACGTCGCTGAAAAGCATTCAAAACGTCGGGAATCAAAAATCCAAATAAATCCGAAAAGATAGTTTTATTTAAAATGTCAAATATTCGCGTAAATCTAAGAAAGTTTCATCTTACATTTATTAATTGTGGGCGCTTTGAATTCCTGTTGGGAAGCAACGGGACTGGATACTATTACCTACTATTTTATGACATATTATATTGTATATATACCAAAGCAAAGTTTGGTTTACACTGCGAGTATTACAATATATGTGTATTATACAATATAAACATATTGTCATAGCCAATTATTACTAATTTCCGATCCGATCCGATCTATGAATTTGAAATTAACCAAATCCACTCAGGCATAATCTGGCTCTTTAATTAGAAAGATATCAGTAAAATAATATATTACAAAAATATATAATACGTGGTTCCAGAATTTATCTCGTATGTACGTCTTAACTTACAAACTTTACCTCTTTATAATTTACTAATTCTCTAACGAGTCTACCTGGTATAGCCTACTGTGCCAAGAGTACCACTTCCACAATGGATATAGGGCCTTCCCTATCACACTACTCGGAGACTAATTTGGAGATAATCATGATTATCTCCAAATTAGCATAAAAAGGATAACGAGGATGTCACGTCCCCACTTTGTATTCTATCGTTAGTCAACTTTCCTCAGATTAGCGAGTGCAAACCTCCAGAACGTTAAATTTTAAATTAAGTTTTAAAATAACAGATAAGCACTCGAATAAATTTATTAAATATAGAATTTTAATCTTATTTCATTTTTTTATTATTCAATGTATATCATCATCATAAATGAATATCATTAATTGCGAAAAACGTTGCAGGTTTATTTCTAATATTTTTTCATTTCTGTTTTAAGCGTATGTGGTATGTAAGTGGTATGTAAATATGTAGATTCAAAGATCCTGGGTTCAAGTCCCGGGCCGATCCAGTTATAGTTATTGAGTTTTTCTGTCAAGATATTCTCAGTAATAGTTCGGAGTTAGGAAGTTGGCTTTACGTGCTCTCCCATGCCTCGGAGAGCACGTAAAGCAGCGTCCTGCTTCAAATCTCTTACTGGTCCTGTGGATAGTATATAGAATAGAGAGTGCACTTGTATTTTTACGCATACTTTAGTGCTATAATATCTCCTGCGCAAATAGCTAGTCTCATTTAACTTAACCCGTGTAAGTTAATAATTGCCGTGGCCGATATTGTTTAGGAGGACAATACTACGTAGGTCTATACAAACTGCTAAGCATAATGTTTGCAGATCGCAGACGCGATGGATTCGATGATTGACTAATAGATGTTTTATTGGAATAAAGGTGAGGCGCAGATGACGTACTGGTTCACTCGCTACAAGTTCAAATTCACCGAAGTCGACTACAGCTTGTTCCTCACATACTCCGTCCTTATTGGTACTATTGGTAAGCTTTCTTTTTACTTTAAATTGGGTACTTTACTTTTATATTCATATTATTAATATACACGTTAAAAATTGTGTCACATATGCTTGCTACTAAATCATGAATATATTGTACAATACTCCTAATCCCACTAATGCAATTCCCGTGAGAAAATAATTTCAATTTTAATCTTAATGAAAAAATGAATTCAAAGACCATTGAAATAACAGAATTAAACAATTTTCACATGAGCAAAGCCGCAGTAAGATCAGTATTTTCAAATACTTCAAGCAATTCTCTTCACAGATTCAATTTGCGTACGTTTTATGACGTACGCAAATTGAATCTGTGCTTAAATTACTATGCAGTGCAACATAATTTGTAACGTAGCGCCATTGATATAGCGCCTTTTTATTTTTACTAGTAACACGCCCTGGCTATACTCAGATCACATCGTTCGATTGGAGATGGAATATTTATTTAAATTCTTATATGATATCAGTTATTTAGTTATATCACATAGTAACTTATTTATATATTTATTTATGTACCAAAAAAAAACAAAAAATAGAAAACAGATACCATGAGACTAGGAAAAAAATAAATTATAAAGCTATACGTTTGCGCGTGTTAAGCACAGGTATTACTTGGGCGTTGGACGTTGAGCAAAAGTTTACATACAAATTAACATTCGCATTTACAACAATATTAGATTAATATAAATGTTCAAAATAAGTAAATTAGAGAAAAAAATGTATTAATTTGAGGAAAATATACCAATATCTATTTTTTTTATTTATTCATTTTTATTGCACACACAATATAAAGACAAAAAATAACAGGTGTTGCAAGATTCAATAAGTATGCAAAGGCGGTCTTATTACTACTCGTAAAAGCAATCTCTACCAGACAATCTTTGGTGAGAGGATTCAATAAGACGGAAATAAGACAGTGCTATCCAACATAATAACTAAAAAATATAATAAGGAAATATAATATATATACATAGATATGTTAATTGATACACATATAACTTGTTCCTACATATACTAATAAATACGCATAATTAATTTTTATATTTAACTTTTTACAAAATTTGTTAATGAAAAAATAACATCATTGGTTCAATTACTAGGACAAATGAACAGGTACACCTAAAAAAAATATTTAAAATAATATCATATTTTTTGAAAAAAAAAATTAAAATAAAATAAAATAATTTATATAGTTGTTAAGGATGTAATAAATACATACATACACTCAGTAATAAATCACAAAGCCCTTAAAATGAACCAACTCAATACCTATTCTAAATATAGATTCGTTTATACTCTTATTATTCTGATTGCAACAGAGCATAAAATTGTCAATTTAATAGTTGTTTCATCGATTATATTACAATCACTAACTTTAGAGAAGAAAAGTATTACTCAGCTTACATAGTTCACGGACCCACTGTTTGCGAAACACGATTTTCTTAGTATTACCGTAATATATTTTTATTAGAACTTGCATTTTCCAACTTAAAATTGAGTAAAATTTTAATTTACTTCAGACAATACTTATCCATAGGTATCTGTACTTGATATTATAAAGCGGCAGAGTTTGTTTGTTTGAACAAGCTATCTCAGAAAGTACTAATTCGATTTAAAATTTCTTTTTGTATTAGATAGCCAGTTTATAGAGCCAAAGATTTTTTAAGCCGCGGGTTCTCCTAGTTCATTATATACTTGTACGGATAGTTGCGTGCCTAGCTTTATGATATTTTACAGCCGTTACGATTTCAAATGAAAGACAAAGAAACATTTACTGTCACATTCATAATATTACTTAGGGTTAGGTTAGATCAGAATTAAAATTAAAAGCAAATTTGTTACTCATCGAGTTTTATTTATAGGACCAAATAGTAAACAAATGAATTAAAAACCACAGTTACATACGAATAATGTTATATGAATAATGTTTAACTAAATTATATACAACTAGCATTGCCCGTGGCAGACAGACAGACAGAGAGACAAAAATTCAAAAAACTATAGATTCGGCCTCTATATCGATAATAATGTTTATTTCAATAAGATTTTCCAAAAAAATTTTAATGTACAGAATCGGCTTAGTTACAATTTTATTATATGAAGTACTATATTCGATTTCTGTACAAACCAAATACATAGTAATAACTAACATCTTATTATATTCTTTAGAGGAAAGATGAAATACCGCATTATCTCCGCATTATTTATTTTTGTGTTATTCGAGTACATATAATAAAAATTATAGCAAGGATATAATAACTCTAATTTATACTATTATGAAAAATGTTTAGAGTCACAAAAGTTATCTTGATATATTTTTGTTTGTTATTCAAAATTTGTTTTAAGATATTCATTTCCTTTCATTAATTATTAATCATTCCAAACATTGATAACGTCTTCTGGCCGGAAAGAGCATCACAAACAAAAATGTATGATTGTGCTTATAATCAAGATATTACAAATATGTACTTTAGCGTGGGAAATTCTAAGATTTGTTTCTCTATAGTTATCATTTTTCTTTCATTTTATAATACCTACATTTTAAAAGAGATAATTTAAGGCAGTTTTATCCGACTTCCACTAAAAAAAGTACTATATGAACAAAAGTATGCGTAAATATATTTACGTACTCTGCCGTCATAATAAAGAAGGTCCCAACAAACAATTTGGTCAAAAATGACTTAAATGCAGATTCGGAATCAGCAAAAAAAATACTACTACAGTCTTACTTATAAAGCTCTTATGAATCTGGAGATACCAAAAGCATTTTCATCATAACTACGTACAAACTACTACTAAGTACTAAGACAAAATTTTAAAATTCAAATATCTGGAAATCAACTTTGACGAAGTTGCGGCCTTCTTTTTTATGACGGCAGTACTCATCTTTATTATACAAATATGACTGTTGTGACTTAAGAAATATCCTTAAAAAATGAATCAGTCTAACAACGTCATGGAAATGATTACAATAACCTTTTATTTATTTAAGTACGCATAAGACGTATGTATGTATATACAATAGCCGTCACCCGCCCTGTTTGCTGGGCGTACGTAAATGTTTCTTTTTAACCGACTTCCAAAAAGGAGGAGTTTATCAATTCGTCGGAATCTTTTTTTTTTCTTTTTTTTATGTATGTTCACCGATTACTCGAAGACGCCTGAACCGATTTAATTTTTTTTTTGGTTCCAAAGGGTATACTTCCCAGGTGGTCCCATATAAATTTTATCGAAATCGGTCGAGCTGTTTTTAAAAAAATCAACAATAAATATATATTTTTAAATAAATTGTTTAATCGAATATGTTATTAAAAAAACTTTCTTCTTACAAATTACCTGCTTATTACGTCTTCACTACAAATGGCCAGCTGACAATATTTTAAGATATGAACATCTAATAGGTTATGTATTTTACGTATCGAAATATATTAGATTTGCTTTGCATCGGCTGGCACCGACTTCGAAAATATCTGATTAGGTATTTATTCTAAATGAAAACCCCCGTTTAGTTATTTTTTTCATTTTAGTGCCTGGAAGTCGGTTTTTTTTAACTTTTTATGGTCTTCAGAAACTTTGTATATTTAGGTTTTTCGAAATTAAATATTTAGGTTAAATAAAAAAACAAATTAATAAAAAAGTGGAAAGTCTTTTATTTGTATGTGTTGTGCGGGAATAAATATTTATGAAAGTAAATTAAAAAAAATTGTGAGGAATGTATGGAATTATGAAATATAGAGGTATCTTATCTGAAAAAAAAACTCAATTTACACATATTTTCCGAAGAAACACGATTCTACAAAACGCCGAGCGAAGCTCGGTCGCCCAGATACTACGTTATTAATGTACAAGTTACGGCTAACGAAAATTTTCCAATCAAAACATATCCTTCATTAAGTTAAAGTAAAAATTTCCGAGGTACGCGGATTTGGCTCACAATTTCATAGGTTTTGATTTTTTTGAACGGACCCCTAATTCTTTTTCTAAAATAAAAGTAGCTTTAGTAGTAGTTAATTCTCCTTAAAACATCCGCTATCTGCCAGTGAAAATCCTACCAAAATCGGTACAGCCGTTTCGATGATTAGCCGGAATAATCAGACAGTCAAAATTTAAAAAATTGTTATTTTCTTATAAATCTCGTATAACTTTAATATTCATTTGTTAAAAAAACTGTTATTTTGACATTACAAATAGAGTTTTCAATTTTATTTATTTGCATAAGTAGATGATATAAAAATTCTTTCTCTCGCTTGTTTTAAACCTAATGCCCATATTTGCGATTTTTATTTACCGCCAGCGGAGAAGTAATTTAGTTAAAAAATTAAGATAAAATGATATCTGTTTACACTTTGCTATTTGTAGATACTTAACAGTGTGTTTTTCAACAGGTTCGTTCATAACAATATATTTATTCAGCAAGAGGTGGAAAATAGAAGATAGTGTTATAGGGGTGATGGCGTGTGTGAGCCGGGTTGCTGCGAGTATGGTTTACGCACTAGCGCCCACTAGAACGATATACTTCCTTGGTCCTGTCCTAGACATGTTCAGTTCGGCTGGTGCCACGTCCCTACGATCGATTGCTACTAAACTCGTTGAAGCGGATGAAGTTGGTAAGATATACTATATATATTAACTAGCATTGCCCGCTGCTCCGCCTGCGTTCAGATGACCAAAAACCAAATTCTTAGGTTTTACGTATTAGTATACTCTTACAATGCAGTTTTTGTATTTTTTCTCAGAAATGAGATACTTCCCCGCGGTAAAAAGTATCCTATATGTTGACACGGATAACCAGCTATCACCATACCAAATTTCATCAAAATCCCTCTAGTGGTTTTTCTGTGATGCGGTAATAGACAGACAGGCAGACAAAAATTCTAAAAACAATAGATTCGGCCTCTGTATAGATAGTAATGTCTATTTCAATGAGATTTTCCTAAAAATATTTAATGTACAGATTCGGCTTCGTTACAATTTTATTATATGTATAGATTTAAATTAAATTAGTAATATAGCTACTAGGCCTATTGTTAAATACTAACACCTTTTTATTGAAGAAGTATATTGAAATAAAAGATGGCTGATGTAATAATAATAACAATAACTCTTTATTGTTCACCTAAAAAGAGAAAAGAAAATATACCAAATATAAAAGAAAGTGCAAGAGGCAGAATATGTAATTAATTATTATTATTTAAAGTCATATATGAAATATTACTTATTAATATCTAAACGCTTATATAAAAAAATGTTTATTAATTGTTGTTTTGCATATAATAAAATTCTAATTGCAATAGAATTAGTATCGATAGAGAGGCCGAATCTATACGTCTTAGATTTTTTGTCTATCTGTCTGTCTGTCTGCATATCTGTGAACGCTTCACAAGAATACCACTGGACAGATTTTGATAAAATTTGGTATTGATGATAGCTAGTTATTCGGTATCAATATACTTTTATATTTTTTACTGCGGGAAAATATCTCATCTCTGAAAAATCTATAGGTACTAAAAGTTAAAACGTAACTAGGGAGGAACCCGAGCGGAGCGAGGGTGAGTGGCTAGTTTTTTATATTTCTAAATATTCTGATATCATATCATAGTCGTCAGTAATGCGCGCTAGGTAACGGACGCGCATTGCTTGCACACTCTGACCCGAATTTTGATTCGCGTACTGCGCGGCTTAGCCGCTGCCGGATACCGCCGCTATGAGTTCCGAAAAACTCATAGCTAACGAGCTGTTGGCGTTTATACAGCACGCCATCGACACTATGGACGAGGTCAGCATCATGCAGATCTGCAAGTCGAGTTTTAGGAGATTTGCAGGAGCAAGGTGCTGCTCTATGAGACTCTCGGCCAGGCTGACCGAATGCCCACCCGTAGAAGGGATGAAAAGGGGGAGAGAAGTCTTCAGGACATCATTAATCTCCTGAAGATAACCGATCCTGACGACGTGCCCGCCTTCGTGGCGAAGCAGCTGAACAAGCTGCCTCCCGTCACGTTCGACCACGTTGACGTTACCAGGCTGCTCAAGGATATCACCATCCTGAAAGCTGGCCTGGCAGAGGTGCAGTTTAAGTTAGAGATTTCCGAATCTACCATCAGTGAGCTGCGCGCAGAATTATTATCGTTCAAAAATAATGGTTCTGTAAGTAGGTCACCGGAGGTCACTAACATAAACACACGTCGCGGCGCACAAATTGACTCCATCAGCAGTCTGTCGTCGCCTCCGATTACTGCTGAGGTGCGTGAATCGTGCGACACAGTGACGCCCGCCACCCGATCCCCGGCCCCGCTGATGACGTCGAGTGCGAGCGCGGTCATGACCCCGCCGCGTGCATACGCCGCAGCCGCAGCCGCAGCTGCGCCTGCCCCCGCCCCTACACCCGCCCCGCCAAACAAGCGGCCCTCGAATGGAGGGAAAAAGAAGAGCCGGAGCAAAACCAGCTGCCAAACAGGTGCCTTCGACGGGTTCCACGAAGATCCAACCTGACGAGGAGGGCTTCACTAAAGTGGAGAGGAAGAAAAAGAAGCCCTCATGCCGTAACATCTGTGGCACAGCTCCGAACCAGCCAGACCATCCGATGCGTCCTGCCGTACCATCGACGCCGCTGTATGTGTCCCGAGTGCACTGGTCTACGAAGGTCGAGGATGTCGTAGACTACGTCCTGAAGAGGTCCAACTTCAAATTGAGGGTTGAACGGCTGGTACCTCGCCACAAAACGAGTTTCAATTCGTTTGTGGTGAGAGTGCCGACTCATCATCTGCCAACCTTCATGAAGGAGGACTTCTGGCCGCAGGGCGTCGTGTTTCGGAAGTTCCGAGGTCGTATGCCCGCCGACACAGCTTACACGTCTGCACTACGTGTTAAATAGTTTTTAAGTTTTTTATAATTAATATATTATATGTTAGTTTTAAGGTATATATGCTATGGGCCGCTGTTTACATATTTAAGATCCCTATGTAAATATTGCCTGAAATAAATAAATAAATAAAAAAAAAATAAATAAATAATAATGATAATTCTCATGATATATAAACCAGAGATTTGTCTTTGCTATCTACTCTCCCGTACTTATCGAAACTGTTAGTCGAATGGCGACATTAACAAAACAAACAAGACTCTACATTAATGAACTGTTTCTATGGAAAATATATTACAATTTACTTATTAAATATATATACTCAGAGACATGTATAATTACGCACTATGACAGGTGTGTGATAGCAACTTTGATAAAGGAGGTATATGACGTGATTTTATATATTTAAAGGACAATAGAAGTGGTTGCGAAGTTGAATCAACAATATTATATTTTTTTTAAATCTTGTTAATATAATATTATAATATGTAAATTAAATATTTGTAAATAGGTATTCTAATATACATCGAATATTATACATTATTCGTAAATAAACGATACTACGCAATACGCATAGTTTTAGCCTTATGACGCGGATATTTATATATACGCAATAAAGTATATATATTTATTTACGTAATAATAGAAGGTTCTGATAATTTTTATGTCGTGTTAATAATCTTTTTTGTTAATTTTTAGTACTAAAACGTTATAATTTTGTAGGCTTATAAGGTAGTATATCCACTATAAAATAAGTGTACTTATCGTATTCAACTTTTTAACGTCCCACTGTTGCGCACGGGCCTCCCTTCAATACGAGGAGGATCAGGCCATAGTCCACCACGCTGGCCTGGTGCGGGTTGGCGGACTTTTCATGTCTTTCGAAAACTTGCTAAACTTTCTTGGACATGCAGGTTTCCTCACGATGTTTTTCTTCACCGTAAGGCAAGTGGTAATCATGTTAGAATTGATTCACACATGAAAATATCAGAGGTGCGAGACCCGAGATTTGAACCCGCTTCACTCGGTTTTCCAAGTGAGCGCGTTGCCACTGTGCTACCACTGCCTTTACATACTAACACATAATTATTAAGACTATCTGATATCTCCCCAACTAAAATATTACTACGTAAAATTCCTTTTGATAACGACTTAAAATTGCGACAAAGATAGCCATGTATTTTATAAACATGCGAAGTTTGTCACGATTTATTTACATTTAGAACGACCTTGATATATGCTCATAGAAATATTTAATAACGCTATAATTACTTTGCATAAGATAAAATATTGACTCTTCTTTGTTTTACCGCTATTCTGGTAATTTATGCGTTCTACATTTATGATGCGAATATTGTACTGACGGTCAGGTCGATGTGTCTTCTCCGTCAAAGAAGACTACAGGTTTGTTTTACGCAGAACCAAAAATTAATTTAACCTAAAATGGTATTTGTAATCCAAATTACAAAAAAATATAGTTAACTAGCTATCCAAGCTTGTCCAAATTTCTATTTAATTGTATATCTCTTAAAATTATGTACATATCTTTTAAAGAAATCGATAATTGCACCACCTAACAAGGCAAATAGCAAATATTAGCCTAATCGTTTAGGAGAAGAAAAATACGAACAGACGCACGCCACAAAATTATATATAGAGCTATTATGTTCTTATGATTTTTTTAATGAATTTAACTTCAGACACGTAATAAGTACTATACAGTTACAGTTGACTGGAATCTTCTTGTCGAGTCATTGTTCATCTTATTTATTGGAAAATTCCAAAGTAATTAATAAAAGATTTGATAATAACATGTTCTACGGAAATTTGTAATTGTACTTGAGAAGGAAAATTTTTACAAATGTTTTGGACTTCTGCGAAACGCAATAGAAAATAGGAATTTGAGTAAATATGTAGCTTAAAAAGGTTGTAAAGTGTTCGTAGAATTTATATCTAATAAATTTTGTAGTATTGAAAGACTTTCATATAAAAGACGTTTTAAGTAAAGTAGGTCACGAATTGGGTCTTGTTGGCACATTTAAAGTTTATCATTCGTGTTTCGACAAATAACCAATTTCAATATAATAACATTGTATTTTATATAGACTTTTTATGTCTTTAGTCTATGTATATCGTCTAATAGCGATATTTCTGACAATATTTATTAAATAATTTCTCTCATTTACGTCTAATATTTTAAGAAAAATTTAAAACACTATATTTGAATACCATGTTTATTGCATAAGATAAATTGCATGAAGTAATTAAATTTGTAATGGTTATTAAAATAAAATCATATTAAAATACAAAATGAAAATGGCCTCTTATTAACAGAATAAGTTTTCAAAAATTAGCCATAAACTTATTGTCGATTCGTCATACATTACGTAATAGCTACTTTACTCTATAAGTAAGTTAACTTTAAAAGAAATTGTAATATTAGGGATATTAGCAACGATTGTATTTAAATCTTTAGATTTACATATTATTTAAGGACACTCGACACTGAATCTTTTTTATTATTATTGTTTTTTCAACAAAAATATTTTATCAAAAAAAAATTATATGCGCCACAGAGATCTTTAATATATTTAGGTATATATTTATTTGGTTAATAGCTATTATTAAATTAGCTATTTATTTATTTGGTTATTATTATTTTATTTATGAGTTGAGGTAAAACATTTTTATTTTTTTTTGGAAAGCATAGAAAAATTTAATCGAATTTTACAAAGTAAAATATGTAAAATATTATGCAGGACAATTTTATTTGAAGTATTACTTATATAATCTTACCTTTTTAAAAGATTTTATAGGTATATTAGTAATGGTATATATTTGGATCCCTATGGACACATTCTTCTACACACTATTTAGGACTTATTTGATTGGTTATTTAAAAAATAAATATATAATACATGCAGTTTAAACATTGTTTATACTAAACAACGAGTTCACGAATTAATTATTTTGAGGATTTAAAATTTAAAAGTAGCTAAGTACTATAAAACAAATAGGTATATTATCTTAAATGGAATAGAAAAATTCATTTGCGTGACGAGCACTAATGTTAATGTCCCAGGATATTTATTTATTTATTTATATTTATAGGTTACGCTATATTAGATAAATATAAAATCGTAAAACAGGTTTAGGAGGCGAAACCGTCTCCTTTTTATCGCTGCTTGCTGCGATACATTTATAAATATTACAAAGACATATTTGAAAAGACTATTGGCCAAACCGGTTTCAATGAGGTACGCCAAAAAGTACACAAAGAAGATATTTTTATATCATATTTACCATTATATTAAAGCCCTATATTATATATTAGGGTAGTTTATTATTTTTCAACAATATCTTTTGTACATACTAGAATTATAGAAGTGATTAAATATATCTCTTACGGGTAGAACGATACAACCTTTTATCGTTATTATTTTAAACTAGCTGTGCCCGCAGCTTCGTCCACGTGGATGTCAGAAAAATAAAAATGTGTCGTGTAGAATGGAGTAGGTACCACCTCCTCCATTATAAAGGGTGGGATTGAAATTGGAGTGTCCTCAGGCATCGTAATTTTTTAGTGACAACCCCGATGTTAGTTGTCGTTAGGAATATGCTTATTGAAAGTTATGTAAACAAAGTTAAAACTATATATTATATACAATACACAATAACTAAGATAAATTAATATTTTTTAATCAAAGCAATATAATCTTAACCTATTAAAATTTATATAAAGTAATAATATAATAACCTATTAAAATAATATAGCTTGGGAAACCGGTTGAAACGGTCTCGTATCTCTTATATTTCAACCAATCAAACAATATGCACACGCTGAACTTCTTTTATAATGTAATATGTAGGAGAACCAGTTGTGCCTAGGCCAGTTTTTTTATATTTTCGTTTTTAAAGGTTAAATTTTAAATAATTATACCTGGCAAATATGCATATATGGAAAGAATAATTATTTACCTACACAATACTGAATAAATAGGATAATAAAGCTAGAACCAAAAGCCAAAAAATTAAAGCCGTTAGAAAAAAAAGGCAAAACTGTCCAAGGTACAACAAGTTCCAATACAGATTTAAACAATACTTTGCCAACTTATCTGATGCCTGTGGATTGAAAGAAATTTTTTTTACGCAAGCGAAGCCATGGGCAAACACTACACTACCATCTATGTATTAAATAAGTATATCTTGTCGTGTGTAATTAACTTAATATAAATATTTCATTTTACAGGTAAAACTAGCTCTCTGATAAGCATATCAGAAGCATTAGTGCCCGTGATCTATTCACCGGTGTATAGCAAATTATATCTAAGCACGCTGTCAACTTTCCCCGGGGCGTTTTACCTCATCAGTGCCGCACTTGCTGTTCCTGCCATAGCTATATATATGTAAGTTGAATAATTGAGTGAAAATCATTTTTTTAATAAGATATATGATGTATATAATAGACTAATGCAGGCACAAAAACGCTAATGTGAAAACATAGGAAAAGGCGTGTATTTAATAACATAATATTATTAGAAAAATCCTGTGAAACTCTTGCTAATATAATTCATACTAATATTATAAAATATGTGAAAGTGTGTTTATTTTAAAACAAACATGTTTGTCCTTTTGATTGGCATAATTTTTTGTGTGGAGATAGTTGGAACTTGGAGCGCTGGTTGAAGGCTACTTTTCACCGCGGGAGATTATCTAATTCCCACGGGAAAATATGTAATAATACAATCCAAAATAATATTTATGATCAGAATTATTTGAAACTTGGCTTTAATGCTCTTCAATAAAAGTAAATAAATACGTGTTTTAGCATGTTTCGAAATTTATCCTATAAGAGGGTATTATAGGGGATGAAAGTTTCTATTCTATATGAAACTACTTTTTTAGAGACTATTTTGTACTTTTAGCGCGAGCGAATCTACGGGTTTTGCTAATATGATATTATTGCTATTAACTTTTCAATTAGTTCAAATATTTTTTCTTATTTTTAAATGATAAAAGGTAAAGAATTTAACTTTAATATTAAAGCACATATTATATCACTATATGCCTAACACTACAAGTCATAACCACGTGCTTTACGGACTGCAGTCGTAATAGCTTTCGAAAGTAACAAAAAGAGACCTTGTGGTTAACTGTAACTCGCCCTTTTGTCGAAGCAATCCGATTTCTAATTTTTAATCAAAACCTTGAACAGAAGTTTCTCTTGCGAGTGCATAAAAATACACCATACTCGACCTTGAGTAAGGCACGTCTTAATATTTTTTTTGTTATTCCGGTAATAATTAAAAATCAAAAGTCTATGGTATATCACATACTAGTGACTTAGCCTCGCTTTGCGTGGGTGCGTCCCTAGTTGCCCTTTATTTAGAACCTATCTACTGTATATAATACAAAGCCGTGTTAGGTACACCATGAGGACAGGAACTGCTGGACTAATTTTGATGATCTTTGATTTGTTGGATTTGTCTCCGTCCCAAATAGCAGAATAACTATTAAAACAAGAAAAACGCACAAAAAAATATATGGCAACGCTGGCCAATAACTATTTATATCTATTTAAAACGTACCAACCCAAGTAACATTTTTTCGAAACCAAAGTCTTGAAATATGCTTCTAGGTCCTAAAACGGTTTTTTTTTTGGTTTCTAATTTTACTACAGGTCATATTTTTGTTTTTTTTTTATCGCAAGCAGCTCTTAGACCTGAATAGTAATTTGAAAAACCAAATGATATTCCACAGAAAGTTAAAATAATATTACGATTACTTATTAATATTATTAAATTGTTCTGAGAGCTTGAGGTTCTAAAAAGTTTCTGCTTATGTTTTATTCTGACACTGCACATGCTAAAGCATGGCTAGTTGGTCTTGTATGCTACCCAAGCAGGGCGTATTCAGAAACACATTTCGCTAAATACTTATCTTAGAGATAATTCAAAAGCTTCGCAGGGCTTTTAGGTTTTCTCGCAAATCGTTCCCAGACCTTTTGGGATAAAATGGGACTAATTAGAATTTTAATAATCTTTTTGATATTTATCAAGATCGTTTCTAGTCCTGAAGTCTAAGGAAAGATTTGAGCCATGGCTTCTTTATCATAAATTATTTAAATCCCAAACTTTTACGTTCTAGTGTCAAGTCGCCATTTTATTTTAGGTTTTAATGTAACTAAATTTGCTTTTTTTCATATTAAGACCTTGTCATAACAAGGTTTCAATTACATTTCAGTGTTAATATGTAATATACTAAGCATTTCAATCTTTTTCGGGTACAATTTGGAAATTTAATCAAAATTTTATAAAAATTATAATACCTAATTTATATAAAATTATGTATTTTAGAGGGTCCGTGAGTTTTACAGAGGTATTGGGACCTATTTCATCAACAAAGTAACAGTCGCAATAGATTTAGCAAATACATTTAGTAATAACAGCGTCTCATTACCTATCTCAAATAAATAATATAATTTACGAAACATAAATCGCTATTATTCAATCAGAGACAAACTCTTAGCAAACCTAAATATAACTGTACGAACTTCAAAATAGCCTAATTTTTATTTTCGTAATCCTGTATGATCTCTGAATTACCTTTATTCAGAATCTGAATCTGATTAAAAAGGCTTTTTCAATGCCAATCTAGTTTAGTCCAAGGCTTGCATGTTAGGACTTATTTAGACTTACCAAGGCCTATCAGGTTTAGAGAAGTTTAAATTTAGTTTCTGGAACTCACTATTTCATCTTGACACTTGGTCAGCCCTTTTTGGGATACAGAACGCAATAATAAGGTTATTTAAGCGTTGTCGAAACTAATCACCTAGAACCTTGAATTATTTAAGAAAGGTTTTAAAACCTTTTGCAAACCTTTTCAGAAACTCAAATGTTACTTGGGAAGGGACGCGCCCGAGCGAAGCGAGACTAAGTCGCTAGTATTGCTAAATTTCATTCAAATCCGTCCAGAAATTTTAGCGCGAAGGACAACAAACATACATACGTTATACGTTTTGCATTTCGCGTGTTTATAAGTATGGGTGAATTTGGAGTGTCTGATGATATTTATAGATTAATGTCGTCTTTGAATATAGGAAACTGGTTACACGATCAAACTTTACGTAATTGAGAAGGACAAAACTTTTGCCACTAATTTTTCATTTGATGATATTGTATGTATGTACAATATACCCTATTTATACATACATTTTCGGTAAATATTACCTTTCAACTTTTATTTTACACAAACAGACACAGAAATATAAAAGATGTTATAAGCAAAGATTCTTATCACTAAGTGTTTTTTAATAGAGATTACTACCTTAAGAGGCAAAGGTAATGGTATACATAATTTTACTGTTATATATTGTAGTACTAAATAGACTACAGAATTAGAGAATTTTTAAATTCCTTCCCTAAATTGGTACCTTCCTACAATTAATTATAAAAAGCAAGGAGAAAAGATAGTTTTGGCCATAAAAGAAAAAAATATTTAAACATACAAGCAAAACATGCACAATGTACAATTGAAATATTATGTAAATATGGAAACAATGTAACCATCTCGAATTTTAAATAATTTTTTTAATTAAAAAATAAGACAATCTAATTAGACAAGTTAGTGTTCGAACCCCGAATGAATTGCACTATGTACATAAAATGGACTCCCAACATCATAAGGTACTCAAATTGTTATGTGCCAGTGCCATTCAAAATTATCAACAATTAGTCTGAAGTGTGAACAGGAAGGAATATGAGCTGTTATTATTTTTATTCTAGTCCGGATAAAACTATTATTAATGTTTATTATGTTTCTTCCGATTAAATAATGTTTAATTCATTCATGGACTAGATCTAGTACATTAAGTCCTGTCCAGGTGGACAACATTAGTTTTAGTTGATATTTTAGTGTTTATTAATTATTTATACATAAGCACTAATTAATTATAAATACAAAAACCTATAAAATTATAGTTTATACTAAGGGTAAAGTATATAATACGTATAGTATCAGGAGAAGTAGGTACCTATATGTAAAGAAAGAAAAAGTACGAGTAATACAAAAAAATAAAAAGTTAGTTAAATAACAGTATAATTTTACATACAAAAAGTTTGGCTGAAGAGATATTTTAAAATTGGTTCAGTACTTTTTGCGTGAAACACGCACGTAGATTTAGCTAAGTTACTATTTTGTTATATGTATAGATAGATATTGATCAACTAATAATAGATATTATGTCTCTTTACAGAAGTCTATTCATTTTACGGAAACGAGAGATAAAAGAAGAGAATCAGTCTGCTGAAAGAAACCCTAAGGATAGTGAAGTTACCCGATTTTAGCGAAATTTGTTGTACAATTTTATTGTTAAGTTTAGTTATAATTATGTCTGTTGTGGACCTACCGCAAATATTAATAAATATAGGATTTATATTGTTGTGGTAGTTTATTCATCCTTGGAAAACCTTATAGCATACTAGCGACTTGCCCTCGCTCCGCTCGAGTATGTCTCTACACCGTCGCCTTATATTAACGTATATCATTCATTTTTTTATTATTCATTTTTCAGGTTCTCATCAGAACAAAGAAAAATTAGTTCATGTCAATGTCCATAGATGGTATTATAGATATCGATTAGTTATCGAAGTGTGTGTAAAAAAAACAACACATAAAAGTAGGTACCAAAAAGGTATATTATGGTTTTGAAATATTTTATGTAAAATAATGCGCTCATAAATCAAATTCGAATTCGAATTAAATAGACGGAGACACGTAGCAAGTCTTGCAACAAGTAATATATAATATTAAATGTCTCCGACTGCATAATACTATGTTATTTTACTAGTTTTCATATATTTAGTTTTATTTTAGGCAGTCGGTTTATTCTATTTTTATAATTTATTTTTTATTTACAGGTTTTTACTTTTGGCCAGTTAGACATTTCGAATTTTATTTAATATTGTAAAGAAATATTTAACTATCAAGCTTATTATTATTATTTTCTATTTTATGCAGGCAAAAATATTCTAAGTAGGGTAAGGTTGCTCAAGTCGTACCACGGCCTAAGTCGTACCCCGGTAATATCTTGTCTCGTAATTATAAATTGCGCCATATAATGTTGCTAATCTGAACTTCTTAGTCGAGCGACCAAACAGAAACAAGTGGACGACCGGCCGGCTTCGTGAAGTAAAAATATTGAAAAAGTAAGTTTTTGCACAGTTTTCATTAACATTATTGACTCATTTGTAAGCTTTTTATGGCAGGAATGAGATCCTTAATTTTTTTCTTTGGTAACATGTGTTTGTGATACTTATCTGGTAATCATTTCGAATACTCAAACATTAGAACTTTCTTAGGTTATGTCATTAATTTTATTTTTAAATTTAGAAAACACCACCGCTTAAGTCGTACCTGTACAAAATTCCTAAGTCGTACCTGTACAAAATTTCTACTCGTACTGGTACGACTTAAGAAATTTGTTTAATATAAAGTTTATATAATTTTTATCAGGTTATACTTAAATATGGCGAAGAGAAGGTATTATGATACTTGGAAGCAAGAGGATACGGACGAAGCCTTAGAGAAACTTCAGGATGGAGAAATTGGATTTAATGAAGTTTGTAGAAGATTTAATATACCGAAGCCTACTCTGCGACGATATTTGAAAGATTTGAATAAAAGAACAAAATTTGAAATACGTAATGATATGTCACCAGACATGGTAGAGATATTAGCACAGCATTTGATGAATTTAGAGTCTTGTTTCTTCGGATTATCATCTATCGGCCACTGAATTTAGGAAACTTCCCTTCGAGCCCGCTGAAAAATTTGAACTACCTTATCGTTTTAAAAAGGAGAAGAAAATTACAGGCAAAAAGTGGTATTACAGGTTTATAAAAGAACATCCTACTTTGTCGTTGCGTGTTCCAGAACCTCAATAGCCCGAACTAAAGGGTTTAAAAAGAGCATGTTAATGAGTTTTTGATAAGTACTAAGAAATACCGGTTAATATAATAAATAAGTTAATAAATAAATACAAGTTTGCTACACACCAAATATACAATGTGGACGAAACTGCACTATCCACCGTTCACAAACCATCCAAAGTTATTGCTCAAAAGGGAAAACACCAAGTAGGTGCAATTACAAGTGGAGAAAGGGGACTGGCCACAACAGGCATACGTGTGATGAATGCAGCAGGCGAATTTATACCACCCATGTTGATATTTAAGCGTAGCAAACTGAATGATGCCTTAAAAAAAGGAGCTCCTTCAAAGACAGCGTTTGGTTGCTCGAAAAATGGATGGATAATATCAGAACTTTTCGTTCAATGGCTTCAACATTTTATTAAATGCACAAAATTAGAAAAAACTGATCAAAAACAAATATTACTAAATTACTAGATAGCACCCATACCAAATTTATATAAATTTAACATTTATACTTTGACATTTACACAAATTTAACTTTCTAATTAATAACCAAAAAAGTGTTTTAAGTTGTCGCAGACTAAATTTTTTGTAATTATGTAGCTGTTCATTGTGATCTCTGGTTATTAAGTATATTTCTGTATAGTTTATTATGTGTTAATTAAAGTATATGTTCTAAGTACGACTTAGGCTATAGGTGGTACGAATTAGGCAACTAGGTGCCTTAATCGTACCGAAGGTATGTTTTTGAAAAACGTTAAAATATCCATTTTGATAAAAGATTTTTCAGTTTTTATTATTGTTGATTAAAAGGCAACTAAATAAATATTTAATGCATGCAGAAGATTTTGTTTTATATCAATTGCGCTGAATATAACAGTATTATTTCCTTAGGGGTTACGACTTAAGCAACCTTACCCTACATATGTACAATGTACATACTATTTACAAAAAAAAACAAAAGAACAAATCGCTTATCGAGATAACATCGCGAAAGTTCCTAAATAATATAATCATTTTAATACTGCTTGTAATGTAGCAAATATTTGAATTTTATTTAATGTCTTCAATTACTTTAAACATAATGTAATTTTATAGAATAGCTTAGGGTAGAAATGGTTATGCTATCTCAAAGTGCTTAGTGGTCAATGTGCGTTGAGACAGAAAATGAGCGTAGGTAATTAACTAACAAACAAATTAACTCTAATCCAAATAAGGTTGCCGGGTATAGAAATTTACTTTACGTAATAGGAATGCTTTTAATACATTTAGAATAGTGTTGGGTCCCTAATAAAACTTCGAGATATTCCTTGCTTATATTCTTATATTCAGTACTTTTATAAACGTCAGTGAGTTACATAATTTATAATCATAATTTTCAGTATTACAAACAATTCGTGCCTAGTCACTACATGGTGGTACCGACATCTCTGTGCAAAAGCGCGGGAAACAAATGAATAACAAATGAATATCCGCGCCCTTTTTTATTTATTTTTTAAAACACATTCCTATCGGCCAAGGTCACATAAGTAAATGCCTTATACATAAATCATTACAAATTAAACAAATATAATATTTTCTATTAAAACACTCAATATATAAAAATGCAACCTTACAATAGTTATATTATATTTTGGCACAGTTTACTATGCGATGTCTGCTGCGGTTACGAATTCTTTACTGACATTTTCTTTGTGAAGAATCGCGATGCTTTTCATAATAATACTGTTTATTTAAGTCAGAATATCTCTGTATCAATAATAGTGACTATTTCAATAAGATTTTCCACAAAAAAATTTAATGTTCAGATTAGGTTAAAATAGAATTTTATTATATGTTTAGATGTACTTTCAAGATTTTTCCGAAATATGAAAATTTTTCCTTCCATAGCTGAATTCCACGTTTTAATTTATCACAGCCAGCGATATTCCGATCGTTCATTCATTCATTATTTCCTTATCGTATTATTTCTTTAATATAAAATATCACGGCCAAAAATGATTTACACTTTTGATGTCACTCTTGTTATATTTGATCGACAACTAATGTTCTTCTTTCTATTTTAGATTTATAAACATTAGACATTGTATTTTATTCAGCAATTCATTGCGTTTTTTCAGCAAAGATACCCCAATTTTACCTATTTTTTTTGTCTGTCTGATAAAGCATCACGAGAAACCCACTGAACAGATTTTGATGAAATTTGGTATGATGATAGCTGGTTATCTGGGTCAACATAGGTTACTTTTCACAGTGGGAAAATATCTCAACTCTGAGAAATCTATACAAAACGTTAAAACGTAAGTGCTAGTGCTTTATAAAATTTAAAATACGGTGAGAACTATTGGTTTTTAAAATCGATATTCATACAATATTGCTCGCATAATATTATAGTTTCTGGACAAACTTTTATTAGATACCTATCCTGGGGGAATGCTTTATTTATTAAGATATAAATGTTAATATTTTCGGAAGATATGATCTCAACTTTTACACATACCTATAACAGTTACTACTCTACATTATCGAAATCAAACCTTCATCCTCGATTATTTCGAAACCCATCTTGTTGTCGACACGACAACTTTTTTAATGAATGTTCGCCCATCTCTTGACTAATAAGCATACTAATTTGTGTCAAATTTAATCCAAAAATTTCGATAGGAAGTTATGCGCGTACATACATTTCGATGATTCATTTTCTTTTAGATAGATAAGTAATAAGGCAGTAATTATAAATAAAAATAGGTAACACTATATTATATGGGCATTCAAAGTTAATTAAGTCTATTGACACCAATCAAATTTCGATTCCACACTGATCCCTTTGAATGTTATTAAACCCATTCAATAAGAGCTCTACAATTAATCCAGTACCTAATAGTTAACATTACGTGGACTTTAAGAGATTTATTTGTAATTTCTATGCTTATCCAAAATATGCAGTATATATTTAATTAGATTGTAATTAAAAAAAGTTCATTCTCTACAAAATGATTAAATACAACAATTTCTTCTTACCTTTATTGAAGGAAATTACTTTCAAAAATATTCTGGAAGTTAATTTGTTAATTATTTTTATTATGTAAATTAATCAAAATAATTATCTAAAATGGAGATAATTAGTGTTTAAATTATTTAATTTTTACGTCGAAATTTATTTAGATTAACATAACTTAATAATATAATTTAATAATAAAATTCGCAATAACAACACAGTGTGCATATATACAAAACTTTATGCATGCTATGTCTGCTTTTGAACAACTATTTCATAACATTTTTATTAAATCTAAAAGGCAAAATTTTTCATATAAACTCTATTTGGCAGTATTATATTTTTATTTAAAAATTCTCATAATACTTTCTTAGATTTAAAAATTCTATAAATTTTTTATTATTCAAACTGA